TGATTTCTTTGGGTTAAGGTTTTACTGTAATTTTAACCTTTGTTCGTGTAATAATTTAATTCTTGAACAAGAATTTATTTTTCAATAATTCGATGAAAGTGCCATGTATGTCCTATATCACTAGTCGACTTTGAGCATCTCCCAAATTTTACCCTTTTCTTCGAGTAAAAATGTTATATTGGGTCGATAGTGACGAAAATAGCGGTAAAACAAATATCTCTCGCGTCAATAAAATTTTGAGTATCGTTAAACCCGTTTTAATACATATGGGAAAACATATTCCACTATCATCTGCAACAATTTTAAAGCATTCATCATTCTTTAATAATACAATTAGTACCATAAAAGAAGATATTAACAAGGGACAATCATAAAGTAAAATTATTAATAAACAATTTAATTAAAGAAGGATTAATTGATAGTACAGAAAACACACAACCAATATTCTCGCTGTTTTGATAGGGAAACATACAGACAAAATATCACATCGATAAATCCTATTCAATGCAACATCAAAAATTAATTATAAGTTGAAAATTATTGTATTAAGAACAACCCAAAAAGTATGAAAAAAAATATAGGTTAAGAATCCAAGTTTTAAGTTTCTTGCTATTATTAAAAAAAGTTCTAAAACTGAACAATTTGTTTCTGTGTCTGCTTGGGTGAATAAATTATAAGCAGTTTTCATCTAGTTCTAAGATTTTGTACACAAGTTTGTTTTTTTAATTTCAGTTCCACGTTGTTATGTTTCTTAAATAGTTACTTATTTTTAAATTAAGTAAGAAGACCAGTCATGCATCATCACTGCGAACTGGGAAGAATACAAGTCAACTTTAATTTAAAATATTTTAGATTTTGGCTCTTCAGACGAGATGATTCCTACCATTTTTTAACGAGTTTTAAGCATTTTGGGTAAGTTTTGGAACTGATATAATAGGAGGTGATCAGGGATGACAATGTGACGAAATACGAGACACTTTTGTCCTCTAATTCTTGATTGAAATTTGAACGGGTTTAACCCCTCCCCTCCCCTAGAGTATTGTGGAAGATGTAAATCGCAGAATGTGCCTCAACAAGCCAGGGTACAAGAACTAACATACTGGTGCTCACAAAAAATTCAATTTCATACATTGTAAGAGGCAGGAATCTAACCCTCACATTGCGACTGTCAACTCAATTGAGACTACCTCACTCATGTCCTTTGTAATACTGAACTATGCCCCGAAGGGCAAATCTTGATTGAATGTATGTCCATGCCTCTGGTTGGCAGTTTGCTTCGGTCAACACTATCATGATTTGCGCTCTCTCCTCCACAAGTCTTCTATATGAAATTTGGCATTTATTAGATAAATGCATACTGAAACGTGTTAGAGAAATTATAATTAAAAAATAACCATTATAGATATATCATATATGGAGAAATTAAGTACGTAAAGAAATAAACCTATGCACATATATCTCACAATAATGTAAACTTTTTCATTCCTAGACCGGCAACTTTTCTCGTAACTTGGTTTATTTAAAATATAGAATAATTCAAATGAAACATTGGTGAAGAATATCTTCAAAAGGGACAGCCATGTGACTAAACTAAGAAAATGAGTTGTCCATGGCATGCTAGTTTACAGGGAACACAAATTGGGTGCAACAGTGGGGTGGGGTGGGGTGGGGTGGGGTAGCTTTAAGAAATAGAATTTGTCAGATTCAGACGGATTCCTTTAAGACCTAACCGGGCTTATATCCTGGGCCTTATTTCAATCATATTTTCAAGTGAAAACTACACCAAAACCTATTTCTCAACTTATCATTTCAAAAATCAGGTGTCAAGTTTATTCTTTAAAAAATTGGGTCTATTCCACCCCCATCCACTAATCCCAAACCATAATTTATTCTAGTTTATTCTTTAAAAAATTGGGTCTATTCCACCCCCATCCACTAATCCCAAACCATAATTTATTCTTTAACCCATTCCACAGGTCACAATCACACCCACACCACTAAAATTGTCACCCGTCCACAACTTCACCATTGTCGCTTGTCGTCGTCGCCATCATCACATG